GGAAAGAAGCTGGCACTGCTAAAGCTGTTCTGGTCTGCAGCCCACTTACAAGATACCTTGACACAGTCTGTGGGTAGGAGCAGGCTGTATGGGTTATATCAGTACTTTTTTCCTTGGAAATGGTGTAGTACATCTATAGTAAACTCTGTACTTCAGGAGCATCATGCTTGTTACTGCTGCACAGATGGAATATACAGGACATCGCATTAGTTCTGGTCATGTGATGAGGAAAAAGCTGATGTGTACATCCCTCTTATAGTGTTTGAATGAAAAACGTGATCTGTTCAGAAAGCTTGGACACTGATAGAGTTGTTTCATCTGGAAATACGTGAGCTGGTATAAAACACTGGCACTAGATCCACAGTGTTAGATCACAGATCTTGTTTTTCAGATTAATCTCTTTTGCCCAGTTGCTATAATGCCAGCACCTATAAATTGCAGCAGTGAAAACAGAAAACTATTACTTAAAATTTCCTAAGTGGTTGTGAAGCAATATGATGCTATTAAAAAATTAAATTGGATAAACAATCAAACTGAGCTTACCCTTTGTCATTCAGCAGAGTAATCAAGCCGAAGAGTGTGTGGATCTGTGGCAGGATTATCTGATTGTTTCTCCTGCTCCCATATGTTTAGAAATCCCCAAAAGCCCTCTGTTCTCCCACATCTATATAGCCATGATCTGCTAAGTATGTGTTTAATATTGTCTTACAAGTCAGTTTGCTATTTGCAAGGGTGTTTTGTTTCTTGCCGATGTTTATGGTATTTAATTTCTAGTGGTATTAATTATATACAGTCTATTAAAAATTATTATCATGAGATGGCTCAAAGACATGTTTCACTTATTTCCAGGGACTTTTGTAAGAGGTTATATTTATGATGCCATGGTGTTGTTTTCAAAGCGCAGCCTTTTATCCCCAGGTGACTGATGTGTAGAGAAGCAATAGTAGCTGCTTCTCACTGTGACACTGTCATTGAATTTCACCTGGGACCTGCTGCTTCAAGCAACACTCTTGTGCAGTGTGACTTTGTGTTGTGTGTTTTGGTTTGGGTTTGATTTTGTTTTCTGGAAGTTGACTTGCAGTACATAATCATAATGCGCTTTGGAATACCTTCATGGTAAGAGTTTCTACAGAAATTACCGAGGTTTGTCTGAGTTTCAGTTTATATGAATCGCTTTTCACAGAATGATTGTCACTGAATTAGCTCACGTTATACACCTTCTTTCTGGCATCTGTTAACATAAAGTTTGTGTAAATCTGCTCTCACAGTAAACAGACACTAAGCTGAAAACTTAGTATCACAGTAGCTCTAGTCAAGTCTTAAGTCAGCTTGAATAAAATACCACTGAACTATTTGGTATCTTCTGCATTTTATAGCATTTTTAGCTGCAAGCCTTTATATCTGAAGGTAAAGATCATAGAATCATCATAGAATCATGGAATGGTTTGGACTGGAAAACACCTTAAATCTCATGCAGTTCCAGCCCCTTACCATGGGCAGGGACATCTTCCACTAGACTGGCTCCAAGCCCCATCTAGCCTGGCCTTGAACACTGCCAGGGATGGGGCAGATCTGGATGATGCATCATCAGCTTCCCTCCTCCTTCTGTAAAATCTGCATTGAATTATGACAGATTTGCTGACTTGTGTATTACTTGCTATAACCTTAGGAAGCAAATCTGTATGATAGCAGGTGTTTGTACGTAGGGGATTCTAATTTTACCTGGCTCTAAATGAGGAGAGCTTGTCCCAGTTTTCTTGAAAGTGCTTTTGGGGATAAATGAATGTTTGAATTTAAGAATTTTATTATAAACTTAATATGAAATAAGTAATAGGGTTGTGAGATAGGTGTGATTCTTCAGTACAATGTGTATGTATCTTTCTGTTTAGTTGTAATGCTGTCTGTGCTAATTAAACTGGAATAGTGTGCTGCTAATACATTGAAGGTATAATAAGACTTGCATTTTAACAGTCATAGTTTGTATAATTTTTGATTACTAGAACAGTTTTCAATGTAAAAGTCACTGTGAAGCACTCCAGAAACTGGTGTAGCTTTGCAAAATAATGCTAGTGAGAGAAGGAACAAAACAAAACTCCAACTCATAATCTTTAAGGCAATGTTCAGTTTTGTGGTGTTTCTGCTGCTTTGTGGTTGTGGGACATTTTCCATACAGAAACATGCAAGATTTGCCAGCTTTCAGTCTACCTTCTCTCTTCCCAAGTCTTTTAATAGAAAACTCTTTCATCAGAGCTCACAATGGGGTAGGTGTTGAGTTTAAGTTGGTTGATAAGTAGATTTTACTTAGCCAGCCCTGTCTTCCTCAGCAGTTGTTGAGGGATACTTCTAAGCAGTCTTTGACCATAGCTCTTTCCTGATCATTGTTATGAAGCATTATTTTGTTTGGTTTTTTTGTTTCTACATTTCTCGATGCATTTTTCAAATGATGCTTTTTAAAAACATCTGCTTATGCTCTGATGTATTTTAAATGTTTTTAACTAAAGAGCAAATGCTTGTCCCAGTGTTGTGTAGCTTTAAAAAAACTATTACAGCTTATCCAGTGAGTGCTGGTTGATCAAAACAAAGTTTTCATCGTATTTAAAATATAGTATAACATAGTTAAGTTTTACAGAGAGTTGTTAATGTTATAAAATGTTTAGAACTTCAGTCATGGTAGCTAAAAGACGTTTGTGTTTGGTCTTCTGCTGGAGTTGAAGATGCTTTATGAAGCTTCTTTATCTCCCCATGCATTTCTTGTTTGCTGAAGCCAGATGTGTAGTGAAATAATGGGCAGCATATGCAGTGGTTGAATATGTGTGTCTTTGGATATAGCACTCAAGAAGTTTTGAGTTTGTAGTTATTGATCTCATATACTGCTGAGTAATATATTCCAGGCTTTGAAATAACTGATTTTAGGTTAAATAAAGCTTAGTTTTGTAACTACATTCTCTCTTCTCTCAGAAAACAAGCTGAACAGTTGTTTACAAACTGTTACAGTACTGTATATTGATGGCTGGTTCCCAGTAATCATTTGGTCTGAAGTGCCCCATATTACTTATTGACCATATAGAAAGGAAAGAAGGTTGGATAATTTGGGGTGTTTTTCTTGGTGTTTTCTTCAATAATGTAAATAACCTTAAAATTAAAACTGTTACATTTCCTTGTGACTTTAGAAGTCACCAGTCATGTCAGTTACTGCAGCAAAATACAACCAGCCTACAAAATAAGAACAGGAAGGTGGAATTACCTTTCTTGCACTGTTGGGTGAGGCTGATATTGCTGATCAGGCACAGGCTGACATTCTTCCTTCTTGAGCAGGGACTAGTGCTGGAAATCCAAGGTCAGCTTCCAACAACTTTAATCAATTTGATTAAATGCACAGTATCAACTAAGGACTTAATTTTCCTTATTACCAGTGAGCAATGTCCAAATTTATTCTGCTTGTTTTAGTGAAAATTTGTTGGTAAAATCCTAGAATCATGCTGGTATTAGGTTTGATAGGGCTTAATACTTCCTACCTAGAGCAAAAAATAAAGGGAGATAAGGCAACTAGAATAAAGGTGGCATGAAAAGTGAAGTCTTGTACCAATCATTCAGATTGTTCTGAATTGTGTTTGTTGAGTTTCTGAATGTTAGCAAGCTCTTGAGAATGTTGCAATAATTTCTCATGCAATAAAGTTTTACACCCAAACAAAATTAATTGAACAAAAGGGAGTCTTAAATATCTTGTCTGGTTTAAAAAGTCTGGAACTTGATGACAGTAAACTTCCTGAAGCTACTTTAGTGAGGTTCCAGCACATATGGGTGACTTAGATAAACATTTTTAGCCCATTGCTCAATGTTCCATGGAAGAGAGGGACGTATTT